ACCCCGACGTGTCTCTGGCACGGAAGGCAACGGACGGTGGCGGAAGGTGGCGAAAAATACGGGGGCGGATAATGGCGTAAGTGATAGCAAAAAGAGGCAAGGACGTTGAACCGCGAAAACAAGACACTGACTCGACAAAGCGGCGCTGGAAGGCTTTCACGCCGAGCGTCGATTTGCCACCGATTTTTCACCGGCGCCATTTACATGCCCAGGGGAAAATTATTTTCCGCGACGAGAATACACTGTGTGCGTTGCATATTTCACGGGCAACTACGTCGGCGATATAGATACGCGTGAGCATCTGCGATGAAATATGTATCAACAATTGCGTTAATCATTATCGTTAAAATTATCGTTCCCATTTATTACTAAGACGTGGAATTGCGGCGGGACACGCTAATGTGTTTGTTAACGAGACGCGCAGAAGCGTGTTACGTTTCGATAACAGCGAAACGCCCGGACGCGTTTGAAACGATAAACGAGCGGCGCGTCGCGCTCGCGAAATTAGCCGCAATTTGCGCGCTCGCGCGGTACCCCCCCCCCCCTTGACTTTTCAGACGCACGCCGAGTGCGTTAATTCAGCGGCGAGCGACGGCGATAGGAAACGAACAATATGTTCGTCCGACACTCCCTTCTCGTTCCCTTATCGGTTCCCAGCGCGGGCGACCGAAATAGACAAGATGGTGCACTTCCATCATTAGCCTGCCATTGTTCCAGAGTCTCATCCACGTTCGACCCATTTCATGCCTTATCAGTCAGCATCTCTCCGACGTCGGGTGAAGTGCTCCGGCGAAAGTTACCGAGTTCTCGTGACAAGATCGTACGTATACGCCGACGGAACTCGCCGAGTTTCCCATCACGAGATCGTCAAGCGGCGTTTTGTATCGTCTCCCTGAATGATTTCTATAAATTCGACATGGCGCGGTACTCGGCATATATCGAAAAGTCTATTCGCGGAATACAATCACAACTGTTCACTTCGATCGTATGAATCACATCGTCGAGTCGTTGCATCTCTGTTCATTGTGAATTATGGGGACTGGAGGGTCAGATTGCTGAAAGATAATGCTTGTTTTTGACAATATTTTGCGATGAACTGAATAAATATGCAAGAATGAAAATTTTAGGTATATTTATACAACATGTGAAGAGTAGAAAAATTTTGTTTATTAACAAATACTCATATAAATGTACGATACATATAGCTGAAATATACTCTTCTTTTTTTTTCAAGTTGTCGTTTTTGCAGTAATATCTCGGCTCTCGGTGGTCCGCGATCAGAACGAATTTTAGCTGGAAATCTTAAGGAGGCTTGTTATTATCCGGTGAAGCACTATAAAAAAAATCGGATAAAATTAACAAAATGGCAGCTATTATTAGGAAAAAATTCAAATTTTTCAGTTTTTTACAATAAAAAAATTAATATCTCGAAATGAAATATTTTGACGGAGTTGCCCATGGTTCACCTGAGAGCCAGATGAACAAATATTATTGCTTTAAAATTTCAAATCGATACGAAGCTCAGTTTCGGAGAAATCACTGCAAAAAGTTGAACAATAGAATTTCGAGAAAAACACATTTAAAATTTAAATGGACGTATATTTATATGAGGTATTTGCTAATAAACAAAATTTTCCTGCTCTTCATATGTTATATAAATATATCAAAAATTTTCATTCTTGCACATTTATTCAGTTCGTCACAAAATTTTACAAAAACATGTTCGTTACAAAAAACAAGCATGATTTTTCAGTAATCTGACCCTCCAGTCCTCTTAATCTATCGAGTTATCGCTATCGAGTGTGTGCCAAAAGTGTAACTAAAAATCCTAAGCTCCCGTTAACTGACAATATCACTTTCCTGAATTTACAAAACGAGATTTGGCAGATGAATTAAATGCTGAAGAGATCTGATATTAAAGGAGCAAGATAAGCTCGAGGCAAAAGGATTATGCATCGATGTGAGACAAAATAAATAACGCAAACGAGACACAACATCCATGGTCATGAAGTATCTACTGGTATCAAGAAGAAATGCTTTATGATGAGCTATCACCACTGGGACAGAGACACAATTACAGGAGATCGCTATGGTCAACAATTATATTTACATTTAAATTGAGTCGTGAAAAAAAAACACCCTCAAATAGTCGCGAATTGACGCAAAGTTTTCCCACTCCGCGACAATGCCGGGCCGCACGTTACATTGTAACTAAAGAGACAGGTTGTTCGAGGTAGATTGGGAAGTTCTGCGCGCACCCAGCGTACTCTCCAGACATCGCCCCATCTGATTATCATCTATTCAGATGCAGCGCGGTCTATCTGATATACGTTTCCGAAATGTCGAGAAAGTGCAAAATTGAAACGACGAATAGATTGCCTCAAAAGACGAGTCATTTTATTGGCATGGGATCAAACTGTTATCCGAAAGATAGCGAAAGGCTATTAGCAGCAACGGCCAATACTTTGACGAAAATATCACGTGTCATCTTCCATAATCATTAATCAATGAAAACAATTTATTATAATGCTAACAACAGTTCTCTCCGGTGACGAAGACTGGCCGGAATTTCTTACTCCAAAAAACCTCCGCAAATAAGGATCGACTTTTTGCCCGTTTTTCGGTCCTCGATTTTGGAATTGAATTTTATGCCAAAAGATAGTTCATGATGAGACATTAATTATAGAAAAGTTTTAAGATGGGTTTTCAAAGATATAGAGGGTCAAAGTGGTCACTACCTACAAAGAAAATATGACACTAATAACGCTTTATCGCATGAATTTTTGCAAAATTCGGTGGTTCTTTGAGTTGCTGATTATGAATCTAGTATAAGATTTTAAAAATTCAAGATGGCAGGTGTAACATGACGGACACACATAGCGAGACAATCATTTACTTTTATTGAAACTGTTATGTTGTGGTTTTCTGGCTAGCTGATTGCAAATTTTCTATTAGGTTTCCGAAAGTAATTTTTTCAACGACAATTTTTGAGTGGAAAAAGTATTTTTTTTAGCTTCTTCATAAAAAAAATATCAAATTCAAATTGATACGTTACATGACGCATAAAGGATAACGTGATAGTTTTATTTGTTATATTTAGAAGCTTTTTCATTACAGTTTCCGTAACTCTTTATGATTACATATCATTATATCCAATAATATAAAAGTTATCTAAAAATTCAGATCCGAAGTTATCAGTTTTAAAGTATTGAGTATTATAATTAGAGGAAAACACCACATTCTTTATCAAACAAGACTCGAATGGAACACTGAGGGTAAATGTAAATCTGATAGAAAATTCGCAATCAGCTAGCCGAAAATCCACAATAACATAACAGTTCTAATAGAAGTAAATTATTGTTTCACTATTTGTGTCCGCTATATTACATCCGCCATCTTGAATTTTTTAAATCTGACATCGAATTCGTAATAAGCAACTCAAAGAACCCATAGATACTGAATTTCGCAAAAATTCGTGCGATAAAACGTTATTATAGTGACAAACTTCCTTAGTAGGTAGTGACCACTTTGACCCTCTATATCTCTGGAACCAATCGTATGCTCAATGTGAAACTTTTCTGTCATTAATGTCTTAACATTTCGCATAAAATTTCATTTAAAAATCGTGGAAAACTGAAAAACGGGCACTTTTTGCGGAGGTTCTTTCCGAGAAATTACGCTTGCACGATCACCTTGAATCTCCCGCTGCGCGACTCGCAGCTTCAGCAGCCCGCGGCTGCCGCTGTTGTCCCTTCGAACGTCGAGCATATTCTCGACGATATCGGCCGCATTTGGCTCACGGTTCGGGGTACTTCGCCGACGCAGAAATATCGTCGACGGACGTTTCGGCCATTAGCATTTCGGACACTCATGATTTATTCATGAAGAAAACGCCACGTGTGGCAGCAGTGGAGGTGGCGGCCGGACCTCGAGCAGAGAGAGAGAGCAGAGAGAGAGAGAGAGAGAGAGAGAGAGAGAGAGAGAGAGAGAGAGAGAGAGAGAGAGAGAGAGAGAGAGAGAGAGAGAAGGCGAAGCCGGAGGTCGACGGCGCGGGAAACGCGCAACAATGCATTATGATTCGCTATGCAGCGGGAGAACACGCGCGCGCGAGAATGAGAGAGAGAGAGAGAGAGAGAGAGAATGCGTTGTATGAACGCGAGCGTTTAAGTAGATGCATAAAATGCGAGAATATTCACGTCGGTCATCCGCGGTGAAATGCCACGGATGAACGGTCGCTCACGTAGAGGCGATCGCAGTAATGCCGACCGAGTTTCATTCTGAACGCGTGAAATGTAACGGGTGTGTGAGATTAGCGGCCAATGTAAGAGGTTTCGTGGAGAGAAAATATATATATATATATATATAGTAAAATGCGGACGACGTGTGAGCGGGAAATTTGAGAGCCGCTGAGCGCATAAAACGCACACGTGTGTATTCCTCCGGTATCTTGGGGATATGAGAGAAATTTCCGACCTAAAAGAGAGGGAGAAATATATGCACGGTGTGTCTGATAATTAGCCGTATGCAGGTGGAGCATATTAAAGTGAACGAGTGTCTTTGTCGTTGGAAGATACCTCTTTGCGAGACATGTTTGCAGAGTTTGCCCTACTGCTTCATATTGCGCATTTATTCTTTCATTAATTTCTTTTCAACTATCGCGAAGGTTACAAGAGGGTAGGACTTTGTTGGTCTTTTTAATGCTTTGAATATTTTGGTACGGCGGATATGTATCGGCGCTGTAATGTATCGAGCTTAACACGGAGGAAATGTATCACGGAATGTATCGCGTATTATTATTATTATTATTATTATTATTAATATACGTTAAATTTAATATTATTATTAATAGATGTAATATTATTAACAGATCCGGATTTTTCTCTTCGCAGACTAGCGATATTTATAGAATTCGCGGCGATATCGAAGAGCGCTCGCGCGTTCCTGGCTTCCGCTTAATGAAGCCTGACAGGTGAGTGTGTATACACCTTGCGAGAACTTACCGGTAACCACGAGCCTGGCGTACGAAGAACTTTCCACAGTGTCGCCGGTGACGTGGTGCACGGTGCGGCATCGATAAGTCGAGTGGGCATCGGCGGAAGTCACCGAGAAGACGAGCAGCTCTCCGGTGGGCAGCATGTGGTACTTCCCGCCTGCGGGCAGAAACAGTAACGGTGTCAGCGATATCGCTCGCTAGAAGGCACATATACGATGTAATAATGTTCGTGCTAGACTTTGACAGCGTTTGCGAACTTGCAGATTTTTCCTCGGAAATATTTACCGCAAAGGTACAATTGGTACCGATGTATTACGATTGCATAAAGTGAGATCATTAATTATACTCTATTGATATAATTTAATGTAAGGTGTATATATAAATATATACAAAAAAAACGGTTAAATAATAAGAAAAAAAGTTTTTGATAATGAACAACAAAAGATCAATCTCCATACCATCTGAAGAGCGAGTATATTATTTTAATTTAATATTTTCAATTAAATTTTCAAATGTATGTGAACATAGAAAAGGACGTGCTCGTTAGCTCGTTAGCTCGTAAAGAGTCAGTGTTGCATCATATTTATGAGATGTTTCTTTTTTATTGAATATAGTTATTCGATTAATATATGATATATTTTATTTTTATGTTTTCGGTATATTCCTAATTCCCAGTTATATAGGTATGTTTTCGATAAAAATAGTTTTAAAATACATTAACCTACACCTCTATGAAATAAACAGATTAGTTTTTTAAATAGAAAAATGTTTGTGGAACTGTCAAACCGTCTGATAAAAGAATTGGTTATCCAGATATTTGAATGGTAGGAAATTGGAAACGGGATGACAATTTTATCGACCACAAAAATGCAATTACGGATCTAATGTGCATTTGACCCGGCTAAATTCTAACTTTGCTGAGCTAACATTGAGTATATACTGCGCGTTAAAAAAGAAGAATTATTGGAGGAAAACATGATTATATGGAAAATTGAAAAACCGCGGAGGAAAAATGATTATCGCATTTATCCCAAACTACTCAACTAAAGTGCGACGTGAACTTTACGAAATACTCAGAGTAACGCATTTTTCATCAACTCAACTCTCTCTCTCTCTCTCTCTCTCTCTCTCTCTCTCTCTCTCCCCCTCCTTTTTTCTCTCTCCCCCACAACCTTACTCTCTCGTCGTCGCTTGTCGTCTCTGTCCAACTTCTATTAATATGGAAATTTCTTTAATGGAAAAGTACGGGTATGGAAAGAGCAAAAGAGCGAGAGAATGTGGGAGGGAGAGAGAGAGAGAGAGAGAGAGAGAGAGAGAGAGAGAGAGAGAGAGAGAGAGAGAGAGAGAGAGAAAAAGAAAGAGAGAAAAAGAGAGAACACGCACACGCGCACAAAAGAGCGGCTCGCGCTGTAAAAATTGCACCGCGGGAAACAATAGTAGCGCCCGCGGAAAAATGATTCGCGACTAGCCCTTCGTAATGGAGGAACGTCTCCGTTTAAGCGACTTGGTTATAAAACGATGAGCAGGAGGAGCGCGCCCGGTGGCTGAGATACAAAAAGAAGGCGAGCACGAGTATCGGCACGAGTGAGAGGGAATCGATACTCGTAAAATTCGAGCGTAACCGCCGGACGGAGAGAGCGTGCTCGCTCGCGCATTTGGTGGCTTAAAATGATGGGCGAATAATGAAAAAAAAAAAAGAAATTTTAGTGCTTCTCCAGTGAATTCCACCGGCGTTCGTAGTTGCACGCGCTCGTGCCTCTCGTTGCATCCGCGGGGATGAAGCTTGGGAGAAGGTGATTAAAGAGATTTTAGACGGACACTTTAATCTGTATATTATAGATGCGCGATAGTGTCGTAATTTCTATCGGCGATAGAGTTCGTGCGGCAATTTGTATGGCGAAACGACAGGTCGTATTGTGAAGCTTCTCTCGATGTAAATATACGTATTAAGTGCAGCATAATGTCTGGCATATTACGACATTGATAAATGTTTCAATAAATGTGTAATTAACGAGAGCCGAGTACGAAACAAAACGCACACGAGATGAAAATGTATCGTCAATCAATCTCGCGTTATTATTATATATTTAATAAATAACTACGCGCGCGCGTGACATATATAGAAATGATTAATAGCCTCTTTGTTTGGATCAGTAGGCTGAAAAATTTGCATAAAAGGCGTCCGAGCGATCTGGCGAAGTACATTTCGAAATTTGCCAAATATTTGTCAATAACCGAAAATCCAGACACGCGTCCAGAAATATCAAAACGTTATACTACTTTGCCTCTCAGAAATTTCAGGATGCACACACACTTTTTGCACCAAATATATTGACGCGATGAATTTTACATCTCGAAGCGCACACCGTTCACACAAACAGTCTATTTATACTTCTATTTATATTTCGAGCAAACTTTGGGGATGATTCTAAATATAACGTGAAATATACTCGTGTTTTCGAGATTTCCGATACAAACAGAGAATTACATAGCGAATAACAATTGGTCAATAGAGCGTAATTGCGCGCAGCATATTCTAATTAATTGAAATTTCGTTAATTGGTCGTGACACGTGTGTTTACGAGCAACTGAAGAAATTACGCGGTGCAATGTTATGCACGTTTGCACCTCAGCGAGATCGATGGAGAAAGAGGGAGAGAGGAAGGGAAGAGTAAGAGAGAGAGAGAGAGAGAGAGAGAGAGAGAGAGAGAGAGGGGGGGGGATGGAGGAAGGGAGAGAGAGAGAGACGCAATAATGAATTAATTTCCTGTCAGACGAGCGGTCGGTCGGTGGAATACGTCGGAATTGAGTTCAAGCGTGCCGTTCAATGCTCAACATTGAATGAACGTTAATCAAATCCCGTAGGAATTTAATGGGCCTACGCAGCAGGCCTCGCGCGCACGCGCGCGCGGAAGCTCTTCCGCGCATTTTTCAGTTATTTTTCGAAACGATGGCCGGCAGAGGAGTGTAACGGCCACTTCATTTCTATTTTAACACCGCGCTCTTCATATTCCGCATTATGTGAGTCAATCGAAGCGGATAACACGGAGCACTTCATTATCGGAAAATTTCAATCTTCTCGATAAACAACGGCTGGGGTTATAACGATTTTCGATGTACACTTTGCTCGCGCAGAAATACTTTTTCTCGCGATGAATAAAATTTATATTACACTCCCGTTCCACTCCCTCTCTCTCTCTCTCTCTCTCTCTCTCTCTCTCTCTCTCTCTCTCTCTGTTTCTCTCCGCTGGTCGGCTCTTTTGCGTTCGCCCCCGCGTTCGTTTCTCGCGCGAGCGGTTGAGCCCCTTGAATCTCACCGATCGGCGCTCGGAAAGACATCCAGCTCCTGTATAATAACACGATGTCGCGAGATGCCGCGAAGCAGCGGACGACGAGCGTGTCTACGTCGAGAGGCACGCTTCAGCAACTCGACACAGATCTCGCGCGCTCACATCAGCCGTTCGTTACGCGGCCCCGCGCGCGTGCGCGCGCGCGCTTAGACGAGCGCCTAGCGATTTAGCGGACGACGCGACTATTGCGCGCCGAGCCGAGGCGAGGATGAGAGACGATTTAAAGCCCCGACGGGGAAGGTGAAGCGGACACGCGAGGTGCGAGAGAGTAAATGAGGCTCGAGTCCAATCATTTTTTCGCGGCTGAGGCCACCGGCCGCGATTACTCGTACATTTTTTCCGCGGACGTGCCCGCCGCGCCGCACGGCGTATATATCACCGGCGCGGAGTTTTCCGCGCCCGTGAACATTCCGGGCGGGATCTGCTAGCTGGAATGCCAGCGGCATGCACGCGTGACTCCGTGGAAAATACATCGCGCGAAAATATCTCGCGACTTTCCCCTTCGTGCGCCTACCCTTCCCTTCTCTCTGTCTCTCTGTCTCTCTGTCTCTCTCTCTCTCTCTCTCTCTCTTTTTTATCCGTCACTCTCTCGCTCGTCTTGCACCCGTCCGTCTGTCCATCCCGACGTCACCTCCGTCCATTTGCGCGTCTACGATGTAAAAACGAGCGCATTTCCCGCACTCGGAGCTGCCGCCGACGCGACGCGACGCGACGACCGTCGTCGTCGTCGTCGTCGTCGATGCATCCGGCAGTGTCAATATTTTCGCCGTTCGCGCGCGGCGCTCGCATCCTCGTGGCGTGCTGCACTTTATTCCGGAGGAAATTGCGCGGAATTCCAGCTGTTGAAATGCGTCGGGGCGAGGAGGCCGGGAACGGGGGGGAGGGGGGAGAGAGCGCGAGCAGGAATGCACGTAAGTCTGGTTACCTTAAGGCCGGCTCGCGCGCCGACGATGCAATGACGGTGCATACCGGCGGCGTCGCCGTCGGCTCGGCACCGACTGCATACGGCGATGAATGCCGGCCGTATTGCCGCCGCGCGGGAGGAAAAGGGGTAAGAGAAATGGATGGGCGAGATGGTTAAGGGTGAAATGGCAGCGGACGGGAGCAGAGAAGAGCGAGCGCCGGCGGAAGGAAGGCAATGAATCGATCCTAATAAAAATAACTCGAGCGCGAGGGATTCTTCGGCGTTTTGCCCGTTCATTGTGCCCGCCGCGCCGCGCCGCGCCGCGAGCGGGATGATTACGCGCCCGGCGACCGTGGGCGAGGAATAGTTGACATATTTAGACGCGGCGTGTTCGCGAGTGACGCCCAAGGGACAAGTCAGAATTTGCGCCGGGCGCTGCTGTTGATGATCGCCGACCGACAAAAATGTTGCCCGCCGAGAAAAGCAGACGCGCTCGCGCGTCGGTAGGTGGAATTTAATGAGCGCGGAGGTGCGTTTAATTCTGTCCCGTTTAATCGCGTATTGATAAAAACTTGGCTGGAATTCGGAATTGGTATTAATTATTGCCGCTTTTAACGCTCTAATGGGAGTAAAAATACAAATGTTTCGATATCGTCGACGCACGCGAGGCATTTGCTTTCATTCTGGGGGAGGGGGGGGTACGATTGCTGGAAGTTTGTTAAATTCAATGATTATTAATTTTAATTTATCTCTTCGCGCACGCGCGCGCGTGCGAATTTGTGTGTATCATTCGTAATGCGAGAAAGATCTCTTTTACATCATCTGAGCGTACGTTGAATGTTTATCGACCATACAAATGTCTCATAAAGTGCAGTAAAATTGCTCGTACACGATGGCTGACCG